TAAGTGATTGACAGTACACTGAAAAAGGTAAATGCATGGCCTCATACCGTAGCATTCAGGTCACCCAGCTGAGAAGCATAATCAGCTGATCTCAAATGCAAAGCTTCACACTCTTTTGTCTGTTCACCAATTAGGGTTAGTAAGTAAGCAACACATAACTGTAACAGCATACATCCTTCATTTTTCAAGATTATCGCCCACCTTCCTACATAGAACCCCAGTGAGGGACTGCACATCAGCCCGCAGAGAATGAATACCTCCAGCAGTCTCTTTATAATTGTCTAATTGACTTCGCATGGAACTCATTTCCTCTGGGAACGAAGAAATTAGCGCCTTCATATCTGCAAAGATTTCTTTTCTACCTGAAGTACGGATTACTTAATCAGACTCCAAAGTGAAACAGGGATGGAAGAGAGATACAGAATTGGAAGTCAAAGTTATAAAATTTGTGACCTCGCTCTTTTGATATATTTCCCAACCTAGTCTTGATTCGTTTTTTTTCATCCAGTTGCTTTTGTATCTCCACATCTAAAGAAGCGATTTTAGAATCAGCAATAGCAGAAGACCTTCGAGAAACATCAACTAGTTCACTTTTTATATTCATCTCTCTTTCCCTCCAGACCATACTATCTTTCTCAACCTGAAATTTTTAAATGGCGGAAAGTTTCACAACTATATATACACCATGAATTCCATAAAGATAAATAAATACAAAATGAATATCGCAATCTAGATATAACCTGCAGTTTCTCAAGTAAAGCCATATACTTGAAAACTGCTTCTTTGGATTTTTCCAGCTGGTCTTTTAATGAAAGGCAGGCTTGAGAAGATGAGATGCCCCTCACAGACTTTGACTTGTTCTGTTAGAAAACTCTTTATTAGTTTTAGCAATGGGAAGAAGCTACAGTCTTGCAGAAATAAAGTAATACAGGTAGATACTCTAATTAGACCACCAACTGACCTGTAAACTACTCATTTTTTCCAGAATCTTTGTCCTCTCCTCATGAAGATCTTTTAGCTCTTGTAGCCTGCTTGACGCCAAGATCTACAAAATCCAGGCAGGTTATCAAACCAAAACTCCAAGCATTACCAACGAAAACACAAGACCAGAAAAAAATACCGTTAACTCTTTCAGAACTGATTCCATGTCATACAGATCCCTTTGTTTATCCCTGCCCTTATCACCAGTAGCAAGCTTATTCCCAAGGCTCAACACTGGGAAAAACGCCCCTGATGTTGCATCCCTTTCTGCTCTCAGTGCTGACAAGTCGCCATTACACTGTTGAAGCTCCACAACCTCATTCTCTAGCTCGCCTTCAAATACACCAATCAAAGTATAATGTCAGCTTATATAGCAATCAAAAAGCATTAATCATTGAGCGGGCATGTAAACTAGGGCAATAGCTCAATACCAAAAACAAACTCAACTATGTTTGAATCTCTTAACCGGCTACTGTCTACTTCCGGATACAAATCTTACTTCTCAAGACAAAAAGGTAATTAATTGTCAGACGTTAAGGTACTTCATTTTTGTAAATGCATATCATTCTCAAATGAATTCCAACTTTTCTATATCCTAGAATGTATTTAAACATACGACAGGAGTAACTCAAATGTTATAAAAATAAATCTAAGAAGTTCATGTCTGAGAAGGGTTTGTACACTAGTGAGTGCATCTTCCATAGCTACATATCTTGTTAACAGCTTGCTCCACCAAAGAGGTTTTTTTCCAGTCTTAATATCTCTCTCTTAATCTATATGATCCCAATCCTATTCAGGCTGTTCAAACACTACAGAACACCTGCGCAGTGCAGATCATCAAGAATTGGGAGATACACAATTTGACCACTCTCTACTTACAGCTATCCTCATCAATCAAAGGCAGGATAGGTGTTCAGTAGCTTCCCATGTATTTATATCGACCCTTTTCTGCCGACGCACACACGCGAATTGAACTTTATATTTGATGCATGGATACGATGTCCATGTAAAGACCACCAAACTAAAAGAGTGCATTTAACAGTCAATAATCGAATTCGAAGAGACAAAGTGGCTACCTCTTATTCGTTTAAGGTCTGCTCTAACTTTAGCATCAGCATCACGATGAATCTGCAATTCTCTCGAAAGTGATTTAAACTTCACAAGTGCATCATCTAGAACCACTCTGAAACTTTTAACTTCGGATTCCAACTCATTCAGCGCTAGCTGACCACACAAATCTAGTAAGGAAAGCAATTTCACATAAGACCTGAGTTAATACTAAAATTGTAATGAAGGTCATGTCAAAAGCTGGCAATAGATTGCAGTGAAAGTAATACCTTTATCAAGACCCGTTCTGAGAACTGTGGGATATAACTCATCCTTCACACACCTCAAATCATTGGTCGCAGCCACTAGATTAGACAAGGTTTGCGCCAACTGGCTTGATGTATTTCCACCATTTTCTTCAATTCGATTCGAGCAGACATTGGATGAGGAGCTCTCAGTGGCACCAGTTTCAAGTAGCCGGTTGATGAAATCGTCTTTGAGGGTCGGAGAAGACCCATCTGCATAGCAATTTCGAATTGTCCTTTCAACAAGTCATACGTGTAACGTATAACACCAATTTTAAAGTAGATCCTAGCACTGACAGAATGAATAAGAGGCGGGCCAAGTTGTTCATACCCTCCTTGTTCACACACCTATGAGCTCTGCTGCTTGAATCACTCACACGAACAGAGCATGATTCCACTGCAGCTGTAAGCTGCTACAAAAGTACTAATTAGAAAAAGAACCAGAACAACAGGTGAATTCTGCAATCAGTTCTTCTTACTTCTTTAAAAACACAAAAAATAGTTTTTCGGGCAGGAGATGGCAGATTCAAGTTATGTTAGAAACCAAAGCAAATTCAGTGTTACCTTTTCCCAAGACTTATTGACAGTCTTCAAACTGGAACCGTATGGTAGTTGTTTTTCCTTGATCTGAGAAAGCTTATCTTCAAGAATAGAACACTCCACCTGCTGAGCCTCTAATTTTTGGGATAACTTGAGATTTTGGAACTGAAGAACTGCAGTATCAAGCTGTAATAAACGAAAACAAAACCCTTAAAAGACATCATCCATATGCCAAACAGGCAGCTGCAGTAATTAGCTCAACCGAAACAGAAAATAAACATAAACTTTCTGAAACAACTTCATCTTCTCGAAAAGCAAATTACAGAGTTTGCTTAACGAATCAAGGATTTCAATGAAAGCACTTCCTTAGGTAGAAGTGAAATATCACGAGTAAACTCACGGATAATATATCGATAAAGCAATACCAAAACAGAAGCTTATGAATTTCTTGAAGTTAAAACAAATTCACACAAACCCACAACCAAGCTACAAAAAAGTCAGCAAGAACTAGATCAAACAAGACATTCAAGTGCCTTCATTGCTGGGTCTAGTCCAAAACACAGATAGATTGTTTCCAAATCAAGTTTAGACGAAATTCTAAAGTATATGAATCTAAAAGCTCGAAATCCAACTAAATTTCATTGACTGGATTAGTTAGAGAAAAAAAAAAGGGCATATAACTTGAAGTACATGCACAAAGGGGGATCAAGAAAGAACCTTGTCCTCGGAAGATGGCCAAAAGAAAGGTTGTTTCTTTACGGCGGCTGCTGCTTCTGTAGGTGATATAGAGCTAAAGTGACGCCTTTTACGGTCTGGTTCACCTGTACTCGCCATTAAAACACCCCACAAAAACCCTAACAAGAAGAAACAAAAGCTTTTTTTTTTTTTCTTCTCACATCAGATTGAGTGGAAGAGCAAGAAAATCGAATACAAGCCCTAACCAATCACCCAATGAGAAAACCCTAAAACGATCTATCACTAAAGAAAGCTAACACGTGAATTGCTTTCAACCGAGATGAATTTTCAATTGCTCAGGTCCCTAGAAACCCTAATCTCACCGGTCTTCTTCCAATTCAACCAAACTCTTAATCCTATCTCACACACACAGAGAGAGACCTTGTCTGATCTTTGTGTGTGACTCTGATGCTACAGACCCACAAAGAAAGCA